TCCTCCAGCTCCGCGGCTGCCGCGGCCGAGCCCGGCTCCCCCTTGCCCGGCAGGATCTCCTTGGCCACCTCCAAGGTGCCAGAGGCGGTGGCCGCCGCCGCCGCCGCCGCCGCGGCCGCCGCCACCACGGGGGGCTGCAGGAGGAGCTGGCTCTTCTCCTCTTCCTCCTCCTCGGCCGGGGCAGCTCGCTGGGGCTGCTGCTGCTGCGGGTGGTGGTGGTGGTGGTGGTGGTGATGGTGGTGGGGGTGGGGGTGGTGGCTGTTGTGGTGGTGGGGGTGGTGGCTGCTGTGGTTGTTGTCGCTCTGGACGGCTTCGGGCACCAGGCTGTTTATGCTGAAGGAGGATTTCGGCAGCATTTTCCCTTCCTTCCTATCTCCCATGTCCAGCATCACACACTAGCCCGGGGGGGTGGGGGGAAAGTTGCGGCGGCGGCCCAGGCAGCAGCGCGCGGGGTGGAGGCGGCAGCGGCGGCGGCGGCGGCCGCGCTGGGCAGCGAGGTGGCGGCACCCCGGGCTGGAGCGGCAGCAGTGCAGGTGGACCGCAGTCGCAGGCGCTGGCAAGGCATGTAGCAAGGACGGGAGCCGCCGGGGAGGGAAGAGGAAAATCGAACCCCGATCCCCCGGCTCGGAGCCCCCGCGCGCAATCACAGCCCCGCTCGGCACTCCTGCATGGTGCCCGGTCCCCCAGCTTCCACCAGAGCCCGGGGGGGGACAGCGGCAGCCGGGCGGGTCGGCGGCGGAGAGCAGCAGAGGCAGCTATAGAGACAGCTTTAGCCACAATTAATTTCAGAGCTTCAGACACACGCTAGGGCTGTAAAAAAATTTTTGGTTTAACCTTTTCCACCGGTCGCCCAATCAGAAACCTCGGCGTGCAGGAGCGTCTCTCCCGGAGCCAGCCAATCAGAACTCCCCTCTCCTCCTCTTCCCTCGCCCCTTCTCTCTCCTCCTCCTGCGCCCCCCCCCCCTCCCATCCAGCTCCCAAGCACCGCCAAAGCCCCCTGCCGCGCAGGGATACCAGGGGAAGGACGCATTGCCGCGGAGGCTTACCTGCCTCATGCCTCCCTCTCCTCCACACTCCACTCCTCTGAAACCAACATCTCCCCATCCCAGTGTATTGGATAATTTTAGTTTTATACTTCAGTATTTTTTCTAAGCGATTAAAGTTTGCTTCTACCCCCCCCCCCACACACACACACACCCTTTTTTTTTAAGGCGAAGGAAGTGAGAGGTTGGGGGAGGGGGCCGGAGAAGGCAATGGTGCTGGTGGTGCTGGGAGAGGAGAGGTACTACTTTGCGGAGCCAGGCACTGTCTCTCGGCGCAGTGTATTCTTGTAGGCCCCTTGTGTTGATGAGCTTTTACTTTTTGAAAACATCAGTTTTAAGAGACAAATATTTTTGGAGCTTGCTTTAGAAACATGTTTTGGGAGGGTTTCTTCCCCTCCCCCCCCCCCGGGTGTGTTTGTTCTGCTCTGTTGGTTTTATGTCGCAGGGGGCTGTATCTTTTGGGGTGGGGGGGGGGGAGAGAGAAGGAAAGATTTACTTACAACCCTCCTTGCGTCTCGGTCCTCTCCCGGGAAAGCGGGGATAATAGGACGTGATCTTGATCCAGGGGCAGTCGGGGTCCTGCACATCGGCCCTTCGGGGGAGAAACGAGCTGCGGCTACTTCCACCCAGTTATGGTGCACTTGACAAGCTCAGCCGTTCGGGCCATTGCTCTCTTGTTTGTTAATCTCCGAAATGTGTGAGTTAAAAGGATGGGGGGAGGAGAGATAAAAACAAGGTGGTGGGGGGGGGGGAAGCGATAAGACTGAAAATAATGCACGTTGTAAGGATTTGCCTGTAACCTCCTATCTTCTGAATTTCATTCTCTGCGCCTTATTGCCACTTTAAAGTTTCACTTGCAATCGGAAATGATCCCCACCACTCTTTCTCCCCGGGAAATGCTCCTTCCTTCAAGGTGTTTCTTTTGAACATCAGCGTATGACGCTTCTTGTTGTTTGGTTTCTCTTCTTTTCACCGCGTTCGTTTTCAACCGGGAAAGAAAAGTAGGCCATGTACAGATATGTATACGTGAAATAGATATATAAATAATCCACCCACTATGTGTTGCAATTTGTTGCCTTTGTTTCTGCGATCCGTAATGTTGTGGTTCTGCTGTTCTTATTCTTGGGGGATGGGGGGGAGGCAGAAGAGGCTGGGACCATAAGAGTTGGGTGCTGCTGAATTAAATGAAATTATCTTGTAGCACTTCTTTCCTACTAATGTTCTTTAAATAAATACGATGGGAAAGAAGTGAGTGTACGCCTAAGATTTCCTGGGGACAGGAATTCAGTGTTAAGTCATCCAGATCAAATCCTTCCTTACTCTAGGCTTGAAACACATAGGCTTTTTTACTGAGGAAGCAGAAGGGCAAAATATCACCGAGGGAAAACATATGGATCACATTAAAAACAAAGCAATACAAAAGGGCAACAGACATTTTACTCTATCACTGCATAAATACCTTACACGTGTGTGCTACTTCTGTAGGATTATGGCGGGTAAAAGAAAAAAAAGAACGATGCAGTAACAAATATGTGAAAAGTTCAATTGTAATAAATGCTATTCATCCTATGGAAACTCAGGTTTGAACTCAGCAACGAATACGTGTGTGTGTGTCAGAGAGAGAGAGAGAGAGAGAGAGAGAGAGAGAAGAAGAAGAAGAAGAAGAAGAACAACAACAACAATTACAATTGGCCAATAATAAACGATTGCAATTGGGGATGGCATGAACTCTGTGCATTGGATTAACCTCGAATGACCTTACCACAATTGTATTTATTTATCCTATTTTGTAACAGGGCGCTACTGACAAAAAATAGAAGTCAATGATCAAACTTTTTTTAAAATAAATGTTTTCGTATTTTTAATCGTTTTAAAATGATAATCATATCAATGCACAGAACTGTATCCAGTGTATTGGAATTCTTCAGAAAACTTGTGGTGTGGACTATGGCAGGATCCTCTGATAGGACAGGGTCAGAGGAAAGGTAAGGTCTGTGCATATGATAATGATGATGCACATTTAATATGTATTATTACGGTGCATGGGATCCCTTTGGGGTGGCTGGGCCCAGTGCATTTTCTTACTCTGTCTAGCATGTAATGATTCGGTGTAACCGGATTCTTGAGAAAGGACAGGTTACGTAAACATTTACTGATGTGGAGTAACTATACTATTTGTACTCTGATATGCAGGAAGGAAAGTGTTGATTAACACAGAAGAAAAAAAAGCGAAATTAGCTGATTGCATGCTCATAAGTGCAAGCTGTCATTGAACTGCTTTTAAAATAGACACAGCTGGGTGTTTGTGTTGAAAAAATTCTTGTGTTTTTGCTAATAGTGAAATAAGCATGATTTTGTATACCAAACATTTTCAGATCATTAAAATTTGTAATCTGTGCTGGTTTTAAACACAAAGAAAAGAAACAGATTCATTTCGCTGTAAAATTTGCTGATATTATATTAACTCAATCAGGTCTGTGTAAATGGTGCATTGTGCCTTATCAAATCTCTTTGAACCATTTAATGCACAAAGTGCCAAACGTGTGTATTGTTTGTTAACATTGAACGTTTTATTCAAATCCGTGCTCTGCAGAAAACTGGAGGAGATGTCGTTTAATGTAACACTGACATCGCTTGTTGAAATTTTAATGCTCTGAGGGGTTTCTTAGGTCAAAGCTGAGTTTACATTGCGTTGTGACCGAGGATGAAAATGTAGCAGGGGAAAAAATAAACATTTCGTCATATTGCATTTCTGAACCCGGGCTTAATAACGAGAGAAACGTGCTTTTAAAATGCCTAATAATCTAAATTTAGTGTCCAGCCATTTGTCATAGCTGTAGAATAAAGCATTGTACCCAAATTTAGGATTTATTATATTATTTTTTTAATACCAAGGGTATACAATTCTCCCTAAAAAGGAAATTCTGCTTCCAAAATGTAAGACGTATCTTTCTAAGGCCATGAAGGTTTCATTCATTGTTTACAGGAGACGAAAGGATATGTAATAGAAGCTGCATCAATTATTATCTCTGACGGACTTCAACTTACAGGCCTGTTTATATTCTCAGTTTATAGAATATAGATATTTACTTTGGAAATGCAGAATGTGCTTGTCTAATGGCCAAACCCTACACTCTTTTCTTAGATCTGACCCAGACAGAGCTCCCTTTCGCTTCAGTGGCAGCTTTGCCTAGATCACAACGGAATAAAGACTGGGTGATTTGACCCCAAGACTATAGCAAGATTAGGAGTTATTTTGAGAGTGCCTCGAAGGGAAGTGTTTTCTAAACTGGAAGCCCATGTGGAATACCTGAGAATAAGAGTTGGGAAGAGTAGGGTTACCTGCGCAAGCCAAGAATAACAGGCGCAAAGAGTGTCACTCAGCTCTTTGTGTGACGTGTATTTCCTTTCAGCAGTGCCCACTCACTGTTGGTGTATATTCACCTGGTGTACCTATTACACATTAATTTAGCATCTTGAACAGATAGACTCATTTAATAAGCGATAGAATGAGAAAATAGAAAACAATGTCTAATTCAGAGGATAAAGACTGAACTAAATATTCTAGCTGAAATTCCGCGGGCCAGTACTTTCCATACAAAGCTTCGATTATTTATTTGTCTATGTTTGCCCATTCTCCTTTTATTCTTAATGTATTTTAAAGAACCAGGTAAAATCGTGCCATCCAGTAACCTGATTGAACCCTGGTATAGTGTAAACGTATTCTTCATATGCTTAAGTTGTAAGTTTTCTGTTTGTTTGTTTGCTTGCTTGCTTTCAGAAGAAGGTAGAGGTACCATAGTCCAAAGATGTTAGGAGCTGGTTAAATGTAATGACACCTTAAAAATGAATTGGTGTTTCTTCCGCCATGTTTAATACCCAGGCTTCGATGACATCATGAATCCATGAAATGAGTCAGAACACTTCATTTTAACATCCAAATAATGACATATTAAATACAATCAAGTGCTCTATATTTGCCCCGGTGGGTATAAGCTTCCCTTATTTGTTTCACGTTCCTTGACCAATTAAAGTAAGCGCTACTTTCAAACCAGCCTAACCATCCACTGATATCTTGCTTATAGGACATTTTAGATGTGTAGGTAGCAATGCACTAACAATATGTGTGAAGATAGATAGATGACAGATTAATTACTATAATACACCGATATGTTTACATATATACAGTAATGTATAGGTGTCCTTTCTCTAGCCAACTCTCATCTAATCCTTAACAGCTGGTAATGGTGCTAACATTTAGTGATTAGAAGTTACTCTATTTAGCGTGTTGTATCCTTCTTCTGTGCGTTTTGGTTACAGGTTATACGATTAGGTTTGCGAGAACAGTAGTGAACTAAACTTCCCAGTGAGAGGTCTTCACACCAGGGAAGTGTTACTTCGCTGCAGCAGCCCTGCCTCGTCACTCATTAGGAAGCTGCAGGTTGTCAGGCGTTTCTCTTGCGCGCACACGCACGCACACACAAAACCTCAGCACTAAAACTAAATTAAGAAGCCGATGATTAAGACAAGCGTCTGCGGGGCCTGTCATTTCAGCATCCTTCCATCATAACATTGTGGCACAGGGAAATTTGCTTGAAAACCTGGAAAAAAAATTCTCTGGGAGAGCCTCCTATTTGAGATCCATAAATGCTAACTTCAAGGATAGACTGGGAGCTGCTTCGGATGCAAGCTAGGAATCCACAGAGGAAATGGATGTTGCAAAGACCACTGGGCGATCCAGGCACTTCCTTAAACTCTGGTGAGTATCTCTCCAGTCTATTGAAGCAGGTCCCTAGGCACTAAGCGAATCAAACTGGATCATTTTGAAATCCACTGCCGGGTTTCTTCACGAGACGTCTGGGGAACTCCCCCTAATGATAGATCTGTAATGAAAAGTTCCTACTGGATGACTAATGGTTGTTGGCACTGAGAGCCCCTTTAAGGAGAGCAGCACATATTGTGCCGAAGACCCTGCAAGTACCCTTTAAATACAAACATTTTAAGGTTTTTTCCCCCGTTGTTTTCGGGCCACTTGTGTGATTTCTCCCCGTGGCCCCACTTTTTATAATCCCACCTCCTCAACCTCTTCAACCCCCCCCCCCCCCCCCCCCGCCGAAGGGGTGAACTACTCTGGTGGTAAATGTTTCAAGAAGAGCTAAATTTCTCATTCGATGATCTTTGAAAAGCTACACTGTACCATAAAGAAACAACTGCCAGTGGGGCACTGTATACTGTATAAGGAGGAGTCTATCCAGCTCCAGGACAGATAGTATTAAAACAATGAAAGCAATCAACCATGTTTAAAAGGTTCCTCTAACGTTAAATTTATTTAAGTTTCTAGCGTATGCTAGAGGGAGGAAAACTTGGAAATGGGAAACCATTGCTGCAGGGGACTGAAGCGTTTATCGATGTTGTGAGGGTGAAACAAGATTGAATTAAGAGTGACAGAAACAGAGACGAGTAAACATTATAAAGCATACATTTCCCTCTGCGGGTATACAGAACAGAACGAAATCTAAATCTAATCCAATCCAATCAAAATAAAGCTAGAGATCTGACGGGAAATGTTAAACGTTCATAATCTTATCAGATTAATAAGTGTTGGAGTGTTCAGACCCTCGCAATAGTTGACTTGCTCGTAACTGTAAGAGAATTTTCTCACGTTTGCATTAAATATTAACTTTCATGTTAAGATGTTGATTTAATTTTCTTCAGAATCCAAACTATCAAGAGTGTTTTGGGTATCTGTCTACAAACACATGCATAAATTAAATATGCTCCACATAGTACAGCAAAAGTTCTTCCTATCTCACAAGGGAAATACAGGAGTAATGATAATGATAATAATAAAATACCAGTGACAATTATCTCCAGAATCGATGTAGAAGATAACAAAATTCACATAAAAATGTAAATAAGTTTCAAGTCTCATGCTGCACATTTAAAGAAATCGCTTTACCTCTATGATCGATTCTTAAAACATGCCTGGACAGAAAGTCTGATTATATATAAACTTGCCAAAGCTAGCCTCTCGAATTAAATAATTGGCGATAACATACGATGAAAATGAAGGGAGCAAGAAAGATTTGCAAATCTCAGCGCTCCACACCGAGACCTTTAGCTGCTGCTGGACGGAACAAACACACACGATAACCCTTTCCAAATGCTACCTTGGGGCGCCTAAAATGTACTATTTTGGAAATGACAAATATAAATGTTTTGCGGTTTACAGCTGTAGCTAACGCAAAAGAAATACACAACACATTCCCCAGCCCCCTCCCCCTACCACACACACACACCTTTATTTCATTCTGACGCGTTTAAAAAATAGACTGGTGGGGAATTTTCGAAGCCAGATGACGCTCCATAGATCTCTTAGCGTTATACCTGGTCATTTCAACGAGCCATCTTTGCTACAGCTGTTCCATCGCTGAGGTGGCTCAGCGCCATTCTTTCCAAAGCAGAGAGTACAGATTTTTCTTAAGAGTCCCAATCGGACACGCTAAGTTATGGACCTAGGATTTGAGGCCCTAGAGAAGCTGAGTATTCTTTCTCACTGCCAAGTGGTAGCAACATGCCATAGACAACATAAAACATACAGATAAAATAAGCACGCACCCAAACGGCACTTGCAAGCCTGGTAAACTTCTACACTTTCAAATACAACTTCAGCTTTCTCTGTGTTTTGGGTTCAAACGAAAGCGCTGCGTCTATATAAGGTGCCTATTTCAGACAGTATACGGTAGCGGTGACTGATAAATCCCAAGTATCAGGATAGGATTTACCCTAGTTTGAAAGACTGAGGTTGTGTACGTACCGATTCTTGATTGCCTCTTGGGACTACTCGCGTGAGTAAGGCTACCGGGATATGACTTTCTATGTACATTATTATCAATACACTTTATATCGGGCAGAACGGTCTCCATGTTTTCTTCCTTTCTTGGGGAGGTGGGGGTGGTGATGGAAAGACGCTTTGTGCCTTATCCTAACTGCTATCATTGTTAAATAAGTTTCTTTGGGAAGGGCTGGTACCATCCCATAACAGTGGGTGTCTCCATTTATTATTTTTAATAATATGATATGTCTTTTATACAGAGCCTGCTTTTTTGTGTGTTTGTTTTGTTTTTGCTTTGTTTCTTGAATTGTTCTCTTTCAAGCCCTAGCACAAACACAGAAAAACAAACAAACAAAAATTACTGGCAACAAAGTTAAACCCCATTTGTGTCCCTCCCACCAAGCATGGACTGTGCTTCGCTAAAGACCTGAGTTTGTGGTTTTGCCTTGACGTTAATTTGTCCAACAAAGAGAAGCGGCTGCGGACAGACTCTCCATGCAATGACAATGTAGAGAGGAAAAATATTGAAAGAAACAATTCTCCAGAGACCTTTCTCCTTTGTGTGTTTTCTCCTCTCCACCTTTCAGATGAGGCACACGCACATACGCACACAGACAGAGGTTGTGTTTCTCAGGAAGTTTTTGGAAATTAATGTTGAATGTTGTTATTTTTAATTGAGACATAAACATCTAAAAAATAACTTGGTAGCTCAGGAAACTCAAGCAAATAAACTGCTCCCCCTTTGGGTACTGACAAAATATTATTAGTAAAAGGAGCGTATTGTAAAATATTCTCTGCTCTTAGTTCCAAACACCAATAATCATGGGATAGTATGAAGATTTATATGTACAGGAGAAGTTCCAAATTACAATTGAATAAAACTATACTAGTTTAAAAATAGATAGTATCTCTTTTTTCCTCATGATGGATACAACTAATCTTTCTGATGATAAATCATAATAGTATAATACATCGGCAATAAATAAATGAGATTTTATCATAGATGGACGCCACCAGTCATAGGTTAAATACAACTAACTGGCTCTTAAATTAAACAACCTAGATTGTAAATTACAATGCTTATTTTTACTTTCAGATACAAAGAATTAAGAACAATGACTACCTTCGGGTCTGGCCATTCTAAGAACATATAAGCAATACCATTTCACATATTCTAACAATTTGCAAATCATGTTCAACTTTTTTATGTTGTGGATATATATTTTGTCATATTAAATTCAACTGTGAGAGTCTTTGTAGCATTCTTCGAGCATTTTCTGGCATCAGCGTATTATACAGATAGTTGCTTATCGTGTTAAGATCTTGATTTATTTGTAAAACTATACGTATGCGTCTTAGCATATTGCAGCAACCCTGAGCGAAATAACCGAGAGCGCTGCATCTTTCTAATATGCATTATTTCCATACGTGAACAGTTCATTTGTGTGTCTATCTATCTAGAGTCTATACCTAAAGATAGTCAAGTACCTCTTGGACTTGTTACCTGTAATCGACCCAAAAAAGAACATACGAACAGTATACAGATAATTGCTCTAATTGCTTGGAGAAATGTAATTGGCGTTATATTTTTCTGTTGCACTGTGTCTATACTTATTCTCCCTTGATAAATATTAAAAACTGAACTGCTTGTCTCGACATGTTCCTCTGTTTTGAAGCCCAAGAAGCACAACAAAATCATTACAATAAAGTGATCAAACCCTATTACGCATGGAACATTTTTGTGTTTGTGTACTGCCTTCTCATACGACAGAGTACCACATTGAGCAAAGTACCCTGGTACTGTATATGCGTTCCTCTGGACTTTCGGATTTTAAGACCAAAAAGCTTTAAGGATTTACGACTGAAAAATATGGTTTTCCACATTTCAAAAAGGACGAGGCTCTACTTCTGAATTTTAGAGAAAGGTACATTACTTCAGAAACAGCAAAACAGGAACAGAGCTGCAATTTTCAAGAAAACAGGATTCCAAAATATAGAAATAATAAAAAAGTAGCAGAGACGATGTATAATTCAATCAAATTACAGAAAATTGCTTTAAAATCCAGAATAGTAGCGATCTATTATGTCTCTGTTTTATTAGTGACAAGTACAATTACTCTAAAATAAAGAACACTGGTGAATATATAATTGGTTGTAATCATGTTAGTGTTTGAATAAAAATGACGGGAACATTTAACACTTTGACAACAAAATGTTCAGAAACAACTTATTTATTCAAACAGTTTTTATTTGCGTCCACGTGAAGGAGAAACACACTTTTGCCTATGAGAAATCAATGACTTTCCCCTCGCAATAAATAAATATCTAAAAAAGAATACTAATTATTTTACTACCCGAAGCTTAATACAGCCTCCCTGAGTTACATTGTTACTGGTTACTCAGTGTTCAAAGGACGCCATCTACAGGAAAAGATCTTTATGCTTAACACATATCTAATCACTGATTACCTCAAAACTCAAAGCTAATATTCCTCTTTACATTCTGCTCCGATTTTACCCATAACAATGATCACAATATTTGCTTCTTCCGATTCAGTTTGTTAACTGTTGACATGATCTAGGAATCCTTTTACAGGCGGCCTCTTCTATGCCTGTGGGAGATGTGAAGATTTTTTTTTATTTTCCTTGAAGAAATACTTTTGTCTTGTTATCAGAAACTGATGTATTTAAGGATTGTTCAATCAGTCGCTAGAAATGCAGGTTACACTGTCCAGGTTTCTATACGTGATGATGAGCGTGGAAGAATTCTAATGAGACCTCAAAACAAAAAACAAAGTGATTAAAGGCAGCCTATGCAATGATTGTGTCATATGAAAACTAATATTGCTTTACCTTTAATTCATTTACTCTTTGATATATAAAAAATACCAGCTACACCATCAACAGACTAATCTGTTTAGACAATAAATACCTTGCCCCCATTGCTTAGTAGTTATGGGTACAATTCAGTTGTGTCTGCTCAGTTCTGAGCCCTTGCTGAGAAATCCAGAGAAGGAGAAAGAGTGCCGCTTAATATTTTGACCATACAAATAAACCCGTGGAGTTGGTTTACACGCAAGACCTCGGTGATGTGATTCAAACACCTTAGTTCAAACATTAGAAAACACAAGGGGAGTTTAAGCAAACGTTCAAGAGTTTCCTTATTCTGATTGCCTCCGATTAGAACAATATATCTATTTATTTATCATTCTTTCTTGTCAAATATTTGCTCCTTTTTAGTGATTATTACTACATAAAGAGTCTGATCCTGCATTGCCTGGAACATCCATTGATTCCAGTTTGGGGAGTATCATATGGATCCCTGAATTTGCAGATTGAAATCAGACCCTAAGAGTCAATTAAATATTTCGCCTGGAACGTGCAATTCGTTGATACAAGTTTACAAATAAAGCATCACACGTGTCTGAATTTATTTGTTTTAGACCCAGGGCATAGATGGCTTTTGAAATTTAAGTTGCGGATTAAATTTTACATCAGAGTGTTATAAGGCAAAGGTAAAACGTGCAACAATTTTGGAACAATAATTCAGAGATCAACAATTGTTTTTAGTTAGAGGAGTGTATTATTTTGAAACCTGTTTTTTTTTTTTTTTTTTTTTTAGGTTCAGACTATTTGTGTCTGTTTCCCCAGCGGATCCTTAATAGGCTAAGAATGGCCAACGTTGCTCATACTTTCTCTTCTTCATTATTCCACTCCTGTCTAACGATAGTGAATGTTCAAAACAGACAGGCTTTGCAAAAAATATTGATGTTTTAAAACTTAACAAAATATTAAGGGGGGAGGTTCCTTTCTCCCTCCCCACTCTCCAACAAACAATAGTGAACCTGGTGGTTACGTTTCTTTTTGTTATGAGCCAAGCGAGTGGCTCCCATTTGAACTAACAGGTCTATCATTTCTTTTCTGCATTTTATTAAACCGCAGATGTTAGCCTTTTTCTACGTGTTTAGGCTGCTAATGCCGACCACTTAACACAACAAAAATACTCATCTTTCGAGCCTTTCCGAGGGGCAGCCATGGATGTGAACCGTTTCCCTTTATTTACAGGACACAACCTTTTGGGGTGGAAAAAAGGGGAGGGGGCTGGTGGAGAGGGGGTAAGTCTAACCACTTTTTAGCGGGAGCCCTGGTTTCTCCACTCTTTGATGCCAACAATTTCAACTGGTGTGTGAGTTTTCTCCTCCTACGGCAGTCAGTCAAAGCACACGTTACAACGAGTTACTCCACAAATATCCCCTACAAGAGACCCTAAATCCCGAGTCTGGAGGAACTGAGATCTTTAGCTAACCCTCCCCTCTCCCCGTTTGTAAACTTCCACCAAAGCACGTCTTATGTGAAGGAAATTCACATCAGCTGCCTCTCCTAATATTGGCAAGGGTTTATTTCAAACCCCTTCTGCGATCGCATTTCCCCCCTACTGTAGTGTAGGTTTGTCGTTTTTAATAATGACTGACCATTAACGGTGACCAATTTTCTCATTTTCCTTCAAGCTGCTCGAACTTGTAAGAAACACAAGGACTCTCAAACACTTCGAATAACCAGTGGAAAAAAAAAAAAAAAAAAAAAAGTAATGCCAGAACATTCACAGGGATGCAAACAATCGCAGAGAGAAAAAAATCAGAGGATCCTGGTGCCCCAAACATTATAATTTATTTCAGAAAAATGATTAACCTATCGGTTACAAATCGAATATTTGTGTGGTGGGGAGATCCAAGAACTTTCATTATAGGATTATAACTTTTCATTAAAGCGCAGTTAAAACAAAACAAAAACCTACAACCGTGATCTGAACTGCATCAGCGACATCTCGTGACCGAGACGCGCAACTGCAGCGTCTGAATTCAAGGCGCTTCGACTGTGCACAGTATTCACTGAAGCCCAGCTTTCTTTTCCTAAGTAATGATGATACCTACTTTCCAAAGTAGCACATCCACCCCGTTTCTTCACGGACACAAGACATGTGCTATACCTGTTAGATTAATAAAACTGGCAATGAAGTTTAGTGAAGACCCATTCATAGGCCCGTTTACCATTTGCACAACGAATGCAAACTTCTTAAAAGATTTCGCCTCTGATTTTCAAAGCATCAGGCACTTCTTCGTGTAGATGTTCCAAAGTTTTCGGTACAAGCTAAACTGTCTGTGCCCCTAACCTCTATAAATGCAATCGTTTTCTTGCTTACTGTGTTAGGGTATTTTTGCATTGAGGTATTTCTGTAATCAAGGCATTGCAAAAGAAAACACGCACACCTCCATTTCTCCCTTTCCATGCAGAAGACCGACATTAAAAGAAAGAATCAAGACCGATTAAGGAATCTATATTTCCCAGGTATAACAGTTAAGTGGCAGCATCATTAAAACGATTGCACAAAGTGTATAATGGTAACTTTCTGCGCGTTGTAAGAAAAATAGGAAAATCTGACGCATTCTTGACTAAATGAAATCATCCTATTTAAGAATTAGTGTCAACTCTCATTAACAACTCAAATAATCTTTCCCCTTCGGCAGACCTTGTCGGGTGTATCGATTTAACGGAAAACAAAATAAAACAACAACAAACAAACGAAACAAAACAATAAAGAAAACCCTAACCACTTTTCAGTCTATTATTGCAGTTTCATTGGTTGCATTGCCAGGAACTTGGCAGACCTCGACTGGATTTTAAGTGATTTCCTTTTGCGATAGCACTTTTTATATCTTTCTTATCCTTCCCCAAAGAAAAGTTAAGAAACTCGGCATCTGGCTTCAGTCCTTTCTCGTGAACAGACGTTGCAACAGTAGCAAGAGAGAAGGCTTTGAATGACCATTTGAAAACACAATGGATAAAGAAGTCCAGAAAGGTAGTTATTGGCATGCTCAGCCAAACTCAGCAATTCAGCGAAGGCACAACAGCCACCGCTATGCAGAGCGCAAGGGAGAGGGCAAATGGGAACTGCAGTTGTTCTAACTTTAGGGGCTATTTCTGTATCACGTTAAGTGCTAGCCAGACCTGATCCAGCTGCTAGAACTACAGCACCATACGGATACAGAATGAAAGAAGAAAATGGTTATGGGCACTGAGGAGATCAGCAAACTAGGAAAGAACGAGCACGAGACAGTTTAAAGGCAATCAAAAGACAGTCCCATCATCAGGAGGCTGTGTTCCACTTCAATAATAAAGCAGAGAAAGTTTTGAGCAATTAATGTTCTGCAAATATATTTTTAACTCGACCTCCTATAACAATGGTCTGTGTGTGGGAGAATGAGACAAAGGGCAAGAATACACTTTTAAAATAAACTGAATTAAGAAGGGATTCGAAAAGAGGTTGCTGTATGAACGGAGTAAGGGAGTGGGGTCATGGAGTCTGACAGACACAAATGATTCATCGTAATTCGGTTCTCAGACGCTTTGCCACAAAGCAGAGCACTGAACTAAACCGAATGCCTTTGCTGATATTAACCGAGAGACATAACGCATGGGAAGCGATATTCCAGCAGTCCCCTGTTTGACTTACTTAACCAAGTTGGGAAAAAAGTTACCCTCACAACGACAGTGTTTTTGCTTTAAAAAAATGCAGAGTTAAAAATACGTGTCGCCCCTGAAGACCGAACCCAGTTTACACCCTCATTCAGGGCGCTCGCTGGAGAGACAGAATATTTGTTCTCAGTTCAACGAGCAAAGGCCCGATCCCGCGTTCCGGGGAGCGTGGCGTGCCAGGACTGCAGAATGGAGCCCAAA